TATATATATATTTTTTTTGTAATAAGGGAGGCCAAGGCCAAGAAAGACAAGAAGGAAGGATTACAGAGCCACATGCGCTCTCACTTGGCGCTCAAAGAAGACACCCATAACATCATCTCTAAGGATCTGACTCAGCTCCCTCGGCGGATTAGAGAGTTCATGCGTACCGTAGGGATAGACGAGACTGTGCTTCGAGAGCCAGTCCGCGGCTCTATTCCCTTCTCGATACGTATGAACTATCCTAACTAGCCAACTCTGCGCCAACTTTCTCCTGATAGCATCAAGCAACGAGGCATACGGATGCACGGGGTCCCGCCGGTTGTTTATCAACTGGATTGCTAACTAAGAGTCGGACTCTACCACCAGGCTGTCGCATCCAACTTTCCAAGCCAGGTCCAAGCCATGGTAGATATCCCAGAGCTCCGCTAAAGCTGCCGTCGCTTCTCCAATGTTAGCCACAAAGCGAGCAATCCACCTCCCTTGTTCATCCCTGATCACCCCACCAGCACCCGCCGTCCCTGGGTTTCCAGCCGAGGCCTCGTCAATGTTCAGCTTACGCCACACTGAACTAGGGGGATGCCAGCTGATCTGCTCTATAGTTCTATCCACCTGCAAGATATACCGCCCTGCTTTTATGGAGGGACCATCCCACGCCTGGTGCCAGAGAAGGGCCTTGTGATGTATCGAGTGAGCTAGAGTAGGAGCTGTGAAGGCCTTGCTACCCCTTTGAAACACACCGTACACCTGTTCTTCCAAATCAGCCAGATAGCAATACTGAAGAACTCATTCCAAGCCAAACCAGATTCCATCGCATCCACGTTACCGAGATTGCTGCGGAGCCAATCCTCTTGACCTCTGTGAAAGAACTCCGTCTGTCTGTCAGTCGGGACCCATCGAGACCAACAAAACCGCGCCGGCGGGTAGTCGCGCAACACGTGAAGCACCGTTTCGGGAGTGTCCTCACACCTGTCGCAATCCGGCGAGTCACTGCATCTCCTGCAAAACCGAAGCACATTGGTAGCAATCCGACCAAGAAAAACTAGCCAGGCAAAACATCTGACCCGATCTGGAGTTGGAAGCTTCCAAATGTCCTTCCAGATTCGGTCATTCGCCTCTACTCGCCCAGGCTGACTCAGCTGGTAGGCAGTCTTTGTCGTGAAGCGACCATCAGCCGATGCCTTCCAGAAGATTTGGTCCGCATCCAGAGAAAGAGGATCAACCATCACAGCAGTGATCTTCTGAATAATCTCCATCGAGAGCCATTGGGAGAGGTGGGTGATATCCCAACGACCGTCCACATCTATATAGGAAGCCACCGTCCGAGCTCGCTCCTCCTTAGGAACTGGTTGACTTGCAGCCTCAATGAACGGCTCCTGCAAAATCCAATTATCCAACCAAAACTTAGTGCTTTTCCCATTGTGAATGTTCCAAGCACACCCTTTTTTCAAGAGGTTAGCATCTTTGTTTATACTCGACCAAGCAAAAGAACTTCCCTGACAAGGCCGGAAGATGTTCATATCTTTTCTCTTCCCACCATACTTAGCCCTCATGACTTGAGTCTAGAGAGTATCTTTTTCTTGCAGAGTACGCCATCCTCCTTTAGCTAAAAGAGCAAGGTTAGCCTGTCGGAGTGCCCGGAGGCCTCCTCCTCCTTGCATTCTCGGCTCAGCTAATTTCTCCCAGGCCACCAGATGCATCTTTCCCTGGTTCTCATCCTTGCCCCAAATGAAATCCCTGTTAATCCTGTCAATAGTGTTGCAAACATTAACAGGAATCATTTCAGTTTGCATAGTGTACGTAGGGATAGCCAAGGATACAGATCTAGCAACTGCCAGCCTCGCAGCAAAAGAAAGCCTCTTAGCCTTCCAGGGGGTCAGCTTCCTTTGTATCTTCAGAATCAACTCCTGGTATCTGCTCCGGGTGACCCAGCCATGAATGGTTTGAACCCCCAAGTACCGACCCAACGCCTTAGTCAAGGGAATGGCAGCCCTGTCGCTCAAACTCTGCGCGCGCAACGGGCAGATATTGGGCGAGATGTACATCATGGACTTGGCGTAGTTCACTTTCTGCCTTGAGCTCTCACAGAACTCGTCAAGACACTGACGGATGATCCTTGCCTGCGCCTCTTCTGCACCTGCAAACAGAATTAAATCATCGGCAAAGAAAAGGTGAGTGAGAGCCAGCCCGTCCTGCGCTATGCTTAGGGGTTTCCAAAGCTTAGCACGGACAGCCTCATCTATCCTGTGAGAAAGTCGCTCCATGCAAAGAACAAAGAGATATGGGGAAAGAGGATCTCCCTGTCTGACTCCCCTCGTGGGCGTGATGGGTTGAGTAAGCTCACCATCCCAAAGAATCCTCATACGATTATGCTCAACACAGTACATGATGCATCGAATCCAAGAGCTAGGAAGGCCTACTTCGATCAGAGTATCTCTCAGGAAGTCCCACCGGAGCCTGTCATAAGCCTTCTCCAAGTCAATCTTGATCACCATACCACCCTTTTTTCCTCTTTTCTTCTTTAGAGAGTGCAGCACTTCTTGAACGACGAAAATATTATTCGTCGTTTGCCGCCCCGAAATGAAGCTACTTTGGCGAGGAGAAATAAGCTTCTTCATGACCATTTTCAGCCTGCTCGTCATAGCCTTAGTGATGGCCTTCACGCTCACATTATTCAAAGAGATGGGTCGGAGCTGGTGGACAAACTCTGGTTTCTCCACTTTAGGAATGAGCACCACCGTGGATTCCGAGATGGCTGCAGGCAAGGTTCCATTCTCGAAAAAGGATAACGCCATGTCCGTGAGAGCCTTCCCAACAATCCGCCACTCCTGTTGATAAAAGGCCGCTTGAAAGCCATCCGGACCAGGTGCCTGTAAAGGTTTCATATAAAAAATGGCCTAGTGAATGTCCATGATCGAAAAGGGGCGCAATAAGCACATCCAATCATCTTGACTCAGCCTAGGGAAAGCTCCCTTGGGCATGAAATCAGTGTAAAGAGACGCCTCCTGCAAGTACAGGTTAGAGAAAAAATCAAACACAAGCTGAGCAAGCTTCTGTTTATCCTTTACCCACTCCCCATTTTCCTTTTTCAGGCACTCTATCCTGTTCAGCCGGCGAAGAATGTGTGCGATTTGGTGGAAGTAAGTTGTGTTTCTTTCTCCAAACTTCACCCAGTTTTCTCGAGCTCTTTGGTACCAGTATAACTCCTCCTGCTCAAGGGTCCTATCTAACTCCGCTTCAAGCTTGGTATGAAGTTTGGCCAGACCAGGATGGAAGGAGGTGGCTAGCTTCCTCTCAATCCCTTCGATTCTTGCCACCAACCGCTTCTTGCGCTGAAAAACATTGCCAAACACCTGTTTGCTCCAAGAATTCAAGCTATCCGAGATTTCCTGCAAAGCCATAGGAAAGTTATTACTCTGCCCACTCCATTTCTCATTTAAAAAACTTTGGAAATCAGGGTGAGTAAGCCAAGCAGCTTCAAATCTGAAGCGTCTTGATGAAGAGTGGGTAACTCCCTGACTCTGCACCGTCGTCAGAATTGGATTGTGATCTGAGCTTAGCCTCGCCAAATGCACCACCGTCGTGTTCGGGAATGACTCATTCCACTCGGTGTTACAAAGACTCCTATCCAATCTGCTAGCTTTAAAGGTCTGCGCCTGGTCACCCCTGCACCAAGTATGCTTTGGCCCTGAATACCCCAGGTCAACTAACTCCGCCTCGTTAAGCCATCCATTGAACCTCCTACAGCGCCGCAACACTCTTGGAGTCGCTTGACAAGTGGTTTCCAGTGGAGACAGAATAGCATTGAAATCGCCGGATAGGAGCCAGGGGCAGTCCATAGTTTTACTCTGCTCAATAAGGTAGTTCCACAGGAGTTGCTGGAGCTACTGCCGGGGTGAGGCGTACACTGCAGTAAGCATCCAACGACGACTATTACCCTTTGAGACCGACAGGGTCAGGTGCTGGAACCCCGTAGAAATGACAGAAATGTCATACTGCTTGGCATCCCAGAAGAACCAAATCCCACCACTTCTGCCGTTAGCCTCAACCCGGATGACATCTGGATACCCCAGCCTTTCACAAACTTTATTAGCATTCTCGCCACTAATCTGCGGTTCAATAAGAATAACGAAATCAGGTCTGTGGAGCTGAATAGCAAGCTTCAAAGGACGAGCAAAAGCATTGCTACCAGCTCCCCCCACATTCCAGGCAAAATTTTTGAAATCATACTTAACGTTAACAGATATTAAAAACTAAAAGAAAGGAAAAAAGAAAACGAGAGAGAAAGGGAGGCCGCTAAGGAAAGAGCACACCAGGAATTAGAGAGTAGGAGCGGTCGGGCTGCTCACAAACCCGCTCGAATCCGCCACCATCTTCTCCATATCTTCCTTGTTCATTGGTTCGATGTCTACCACTGTCTTCGGCTTAGCCGTTTCCGTCCATTCCTTGATTTGTTGCAGGGTTAGAGAGACTCTCTTCTCCTTGTTCCGTCCCTTTTTCTCTTTCACTGGGGACCAGATTTGCAGCGGCTTCAGCGGGTTGTGGCGCATCGGGGTACCTTTCCTGGGCGTCGCCGTCTTTTTTGTTCCACCACCTCGCCCCTACTTCTTTGCCTTCGTCCTGGAGACCGCCGACGGAGTGTCGGGATCGACCACGCGAGGAGCGGGCGGCTGATACGGAAGTGTCTCGACGATTTGGATTTTTGTTCCACTCACCCCATCAATGGTTTGGATCGCTGGCCCGGTTGCAGAGGCCAAGCACGTTTCCTTTCCCGTCGGCCCACTCAACAACTTCGCAGGCTGATGGGGACTCAAGGCTTGGGAGGTCTGAATGCTAGTCTTAGTTAACCCCTTGCTAGGCCCGCTAGAGGAGGCCTCCCCCGATTTGGGCTTCGGGCCCAACAAGCCTTTTTCAGCAAACCCTACTGCCTCCGGTACTTTCCCTTTCCCTTTCGACTTTCCTTTACCTTCCCCCTCTGATTTCGCCGCTTGTATTTCCCCTGTCTATTGTTTCTGCTTTTGCAGCGAATTCCCTGTTCTTTGTGATGAAGATTTCCCCGTAATTTCGATCGCTTTCCTTTCATCACCTTTCTTCTGCCCGTTGGTGATCGCCAAAGCCTGCTCTGTCTTACCTTTTGTGGCGGTATCATTCTGATTACGCCGTGATTTGCGCGACACCACCATCCAAGGTCCGAAGCCGGCATTGGACTCCGGCGAGGGCTCGCCGGCCACAACCACCGCCGTTGCCAAGGCACCAGGCTTAGTGTCTACTTTCGCGCCTTTGTCCCTGGAATGGCAAGAGACATTCGTATGACCCACTATACCACACTCAAAGCAGACCACAGGGAGATTTTCATATTCAACTTTCTGCCACCTGCCGTCTAATCTGATCCTCGGGACCAGCGGTTTTGATAAGTCAACTTCAACGGCCATCCGTGCAAATTTTGCCCGCTGTTGGTGTTGTGTATGATAATCCAGTTTAATGGATCTTCCTAGGAGATTGCCCATAGTGAAGAGCAGTTCTTTGTGATAGAAGTGCACTGGTAGTCCGGGGAACTGAACCCAGACCACCATCGTTTTGGGTAGACTGTCCGTAACCCTAAATCCCATCGTCCATTGTTGAACCAGAAGGTAGTGGTCAAAAATTGTCCAGGGGCCCTCCGTCAGCTCCTTGAAGTAATCTTCATCATTTCCTAGCTTGACCAGAAAGCACTCCTCGTCCAAAGCAAAAATTTCCAAAGCATTAGAAGGTCGCCAGAGGGCACGAAGCCTGTTGCACAGGGTTGCATAGCCAATGGTTCTTCCTAGGAGACGCACGACAAGGGTTCTTTGCCAGGGCTTACTGAGGTGAGATTTGAATTTCTCTGAAATCCTTAATTCTGGCCTCCTTGAAAAGATCCAGTGATTAGATCATGCTCCCCAACCGGAACCCATTGAGCCGCAGAGTGCTTGGCCGGATTCCTTCCCCCTGCTAGCATCCCAGCATAAGAGATCAGTTGAGAGGATTGGGGGTTGCTGTCAGGGGAGTTCGAAATCCCGGCTCCGATTGAGGTAAGCGATTTGCTTGGATCCGTGCCCATGAATGTCTCCGTCCTTGTCGTCAGAGCATCCTCCGTTTGGTTAGCAGCTATCTGTGTCTCGTCCACCACCATATCAGCAATCGCTTCATCCCCAGTGGATTTGTTCAACATCTTCCCATCCCCAGGCAAAGGCAGGGGACCGGTATCTGAAGCTGGATCATCTGGTGGTCGTCCCGACGGGATGGGAACGATCGCCGGAGCTACTTGCGCCGAATTGTTTGTGCAGAGCATTTGTGTTTCGAATGGTTGTTCAATCAAATAACAAATTGATTGCACAAAGAAAAGATGTCATGGTCAATTATATATGCGGCCTATATAATTTGTATTAAAGGTATATACATTTATCTATAAAATAGTATATACATTCTCACTAACAGTAATAAAAGTGAAAAATCACATATTGCTGCTGGGGTGCTAAGAAGCTGCTGTAACACTTATATAAGAATTTAGGTTTGAAGTGCAACCCCAACAAGTGTGATGTATTTTTTGGAGGTCAGGCTATTCAGTTTAAGAATAATACTATGCAAGTTACTAGTTTTAAGGAAGGAAATCTCACGGTTAGATATTTAGGCCTCCCCCTAATATCAAGCAGATTTTCTAGGCGAGAGTTCTTTGTGCTTGTTGACCAACTTACCGCTAGGATTCAATCTTAGCGTGCAAATATGTTATTATATGCAGGTAAAGTTTAGTTGATTTCATCGGAACTCTATTCTCTTATTCAGTACCGGTCGAACATCTTTGTTTTGCCTAAGGAAGTTCTTAATCAAATTCATAAGATGTGCTCAAATTTCTTATGGTTTGGGGATCAATGGTTCTGGTAAGGCAAAAGTGTATTGGGCAAGTGTTTCTTTTCCTAAAAAGGAAGGAGGTTTAGGTTTGAAGGACATTGCAACGTGGAACATTGCTTGCATTGCCAGATTGCCATGGTTAATTATGATGAAGAGTGTGAGTTTCTAGGTCGCATGAATTTATAGACAAAGATTGAAGGGGCGCTCTATCTGGAGGTTGCCTCTCACTACAGCTGGATGATGGATATGGCGGAGCTTCCTAAAGGTTAGAGTGTGGTTTCACTATTGTATGGAAATAGGGGCATATGTTATTGTGACTTGGGAGGAGAGACATGTCTTGAAGTTCTCTACGAATCAAGTTTGGAGTTAAATTTAAACGAAGATGTCTGTGGTTTAGTGGTGGCAAATCCTGGGGAATAACCATTCTATTCACATATACAAGATATTGGTTGAACACTTCTACTATGCTATATAGTATTGGTGCTTTAATGTACAACTTAAAGTTGTACCATAATATTAAATGTATAAGTTTAGGTTGTACCATAAAGCAATTTGTATTATTATGTTATGGTACAACTTTACAACTTGAAGGCAAAATCCTATAACACCAATACTATATAGCATTGTGAAATTTCTCGGTATTGGTTTGGTTAATTATTCTGAACAGAATAACAACCATTGACAAATGGAAAGAGTTGGGAAAGATTGTTGATGATGACTACTTATTATGCAGCTGTGCAAGGGACATCATATCTCATTGTTTCTGTGAATATTCTTATACTTTACATTTTTTCATAGCAGTGTTGGATAATCTGATATAGGGGTGGGCTGGAGACTTGGAGGGTTTTCTTCACCAATCTTGTAAAGAAGTGAAGAAAGGAGGACTATCTTATTAATTCCAGGACAATTTTGTTGTATGTTATTTGCACTGATATCTTTAGAGAAGAAGTTCAAAGTCTCTCTACTTTTAGTAGGTTGGTATCAGTAGTTTGTTCTTGAAATTGATCTTATCTACGGAAGTTGTCCCGTGTTTTTCGAATTCTTAAACATTGGATCAAGAGTGCTTAATGAATTCTTAATTAGCGAAAAATTTCTTGTTTTCAGATTTGCTTAATATGTAATGTTTTCACATCTTTCCAAAGATTTGATATTAAATCTTAAAATTAATTAAAAGTCTTTAAATTAGAAGATATATCGGGAGTGGTATTTTTGGCATTGGATTTCAAAAGTTCTTGCAAAACCATGGAGCTATGGCTGAGATTTGTAGGGCTCCGGAATTGATGGCTATGCATAGGGAGGGGTATTTCTGGCACAAAAAAAACATGTTTTTTTCCTCTGCGGATAGATGCATTTGATGTTGTGTTCTCTCTTCTATTTAGGAAAAAATCCCAAAGTACACTAGTTTTTAAAAAAAATTCCCAAAATACATAAGTTATAAAAAAAATTCCAAAAGTACACATGTTTGAGCATCACCGTTTTAGACAAAAACGGTGAAGGTCATCACCGCTTTTGACCAAGACGGTGAATACTTCACCGTTTCAAACTAAAACGGTGAAGGGTTCACCGCGTTTGTTAAGAACGGTGAATACTTCACCGTTTTAAACAAAAACGGTGAAGCCTTCATTTGAATTCCAAGTATTTTGATAACTCTAAATGGTTCTCCTCGTCGATACGATCGCGCTGCCGAAAACGGCTCGTCATTTCGACCTCAAACGAATAAGATACGCGCGTTTTAGTTTTTAGTACGCAAAAGTTACTTTAACGACATGTGCAGCTTTGAACTCACTTATCTCACTCGTTTGGACTCGGAATTGAGATCTGTAAAATTCTATATGATCGTGGTTGATTTTCCCAACCTTTTTGTGTTGAGGGAAGATAATGATTCTTGATAAAATGATCCAGAATATTCATTCGACAACTTAAGTGCGTAGGATAGTTTTTAGACAATGCAAACTCAAATAACAACACCTAAAAATCACAAAAACAACATTGATAGTTCACTACAATGATAAAACGATAAATTCACTCATTTGCTTCATTTTGGCCCCCATCTCCACCTCTTCCTCCTCGTCCTCCACGAGTTTGTTGTTGCGGATGTTGGAATTGAGAGAACCATATGTAACAACATCATGGGTTCTCTCAATTCCAACATCCGCAACAACAAACTCCGAACCCCCCGATCATTTGTCAAGCTACCGGTCTAACTCAGCCACCACCACCACCATATGTAACCCCAGTTGGGGCTCGGGTTAAGAGAAATCCGCGACCAGCCGTTGAGCGAGCCCGCCAAGAAGCAGTGGCGGAGGGGGGAAGAAGGGGTCGAGGACGTCGTGGAGGACGAGGAGGAAGAGGTGGAGATAGGGGCCAAAATGAAGCAAATGAGTGAATTTATCATTTTATCATTGTAGTGAACTATCAATGTTGTTTTTGTGATTTTTAGGTGTTGTTATTTGAGTTTGCATTGTCTAAAAACTATCCTACGCACTTAAGTTGTCGAATGAATATTCTGGATCATTTTATCAAGAATCATTATCTTCTCTCAACACAAAAAGGTTGGGAAAATCAACCACGATCACATAGAATTTTACAGATCTCAATTCCGAGTCCAAACGAGTGAGATAAGTGAGTTCAAAGCTGCACATGTCGTTAAAGTAACTTTTGCGTACTAAAAACTAAAACGCGCGTATCTTATTCGTTTGAGGTCGAAATGACGAGCCGTTTTCGGCAGCGCGATCGTATCGACGAGGAGAACCATTTAGAGTTATCAAAATACTTGGAATTCAATTGAAGGCTTCACCGTTTTTGTTTAAAACGGTGAAGTATTCACCGTTCTTAACAAACGCGGTGAACCCTTCACCGTTTTAGTTTAAAACGGTGAAGTATTCACCGTCTTGGTCAAAAGCGGTGATGACCTTCACCGTTTTTGTCTAAAACGGTGATGCTCAAACATGTGTACTTTTGGAATTTTTTTTATAACTTATGTATTTTGGGAATTTTTTTTAAAAACTAGTGTACTTTGGGATTTTTTCCTTCTATTTACTTATTTTGGTACGAATTTCTAGGTTGTTCTTAGGTCTTTTTCGAATCTATAACAAAAATTCAACGAAACATAAATCATTTGTTCAACGAAACATAAATCATTTGTTTTGCATTGGATTTCAAAAAAAAAATTGCTTAGAAATATTAGAATTTTTGTTCTCTATAAAATTATATCCATTTTGATATTTTTTAAGTACAAAATTTTCAAGTCACCATATCATGTTGTTACCACTGACAGTGACAATATCATGATATAACACTGACAATATTTGATATGACAGTAATATGATTGACACGACAGTTATAAGATTGATATGACACTAATATGATTGATATGGCAGTGGTAATATTGACTAAATTACACGTTTGGTCACTCAAATTATACAAATATTTCACGTTTGCCATTCGAATTATTTTTCTTTCTTATTCGCCACTAACTTTATGAATCATTTCACCATTAGTCACCGGCCGTTAAATTTGTCCTACGTGGCAGTCAATTATAAAGTTTGACCGTTAACTTGATGACATGGAAATTAAAAAAAAAATAAAAAATAAATACATTTGTTTTTCCACCTCATCATTCCACTTACTTTGTTTATATGATTTATTATATTAATTATTTAATAAAAAATTACTGAAAATTTTAATATAATCACCCAGAACAATAGGATCAGAAAATTATCCAGCATCCGCATAGCCTGTTAAATTAATTTTTTTAGAAGCCTATTCAATTTGTTCGTGATACGTAACTTAAACAGAAGGACAAGTCCAATCCCAAAAATCCCATACCAAAACATTGAGGTAACTCCAGGTCGATAAAAATCAATCAACCATGAACGTAATCTTGATCAGCTTCAGCAAGGCACTTGCTGGAGAGGAAAGCCAAGGGACCAGCTGCATAGATCACAACCTCATAGTTCGCCGACCTCAGCACCTTGTTCTCGAACCGCAGCCTGGCTCCGTCGATGCCGTAGTTCAGATTGGTGCGCACGTTGCAGCTCTCTACTGGAGAAGAAACCAGCTTCGCAGTGCAGGCCTGGAGCGGATGGTCCAGAATCATATGGCTCAGCTTCAGCCCATCGAGCTGCGCGTAGAAGTAGTCGTGCTCGTCGGCCTGGTAGGTCATGTAGAAGCTCACGTGGCGGCGGGAGTGCCTGCACGTGACGCTGACCTTGGCATCGGCCACGAAGACCTCGCGATGATCTAGCTCCGTTGCAGGAACCTCACGTGCATCAAGCTCCGGTCATGTCGGGATGGAAGTTTTGCGAAGAAATGTAGGTCGTTGAAGAAGCTGTCCTGAGGATTGCAACTTCGGCGGCAAAGGTATGAACGCCATCCTTAAAAGCTGTGCATCTCTGGAAGAACTGCCCGTGAAACAGCTCCACGGAATCACTGTCCGATCGAGCTGCGGCAGAGCCGATTGGTCCCGCATTAGCCACGTCTTCCTTATAAAAGATTTGCTTAAAGGAGCTTTACAACGAACAGTGTTTGGGTCCTCTTCTAATCGGTCAAAGAATCTTTGAACCTTGAAGCTTTTCATATGCTCTGGGGATTGAGATAAGGTTCTGCGGGTGATTCCCGATCGGGATTTCCGTCGCTGCTGCCAAGGTCCAACGAAACGAAGATGGAGAAGAGGAATAGGGTAATTTATAATTTCTAGAGTTTTTTTCAGTAATTTTATTAAATAATTAATATAATAAATTATATAGATAAATTAAGTGGAATGATGAGGTGGAAAAACAAAAGTATTTTTTATTATTTTAATTTCCACGTCATCAAGTTAACGGTCAAACTTTATAGTTGACTGCCATTTAGGACAAATTTAACGGAGTTTAACGGCCGGTGACTAACGACTGAAACGATTCATAAAGTTAGTGGCGAATAAGAAAGAAAAGTAATTCGGATGGCAAACGTGAAAGATTTGTATAATTTGAGTGACCAAATGTGTAATTTAGCTGGTAATACTAGAACTGAAAAGTGTTTTGAAAAGTTGATTTTTTCTTTGCTAAACAAATATAGCAAAACGGATATCATTATGTAGATAATAATTAATACATTTTTTCTATGCAAATTTTTTAAAATTCCTAGTCAAAACGAATGCTACAAGATCTTATTAAGAATAACAGGAGATTAGAAAAGCAGTTGACTTGTGACAAATCTTCCCTCTCTCCTTGAGCTGTCTTCCTTCTCTCTTCGGTTCTTTCGCTTTAGACCGTCAGAAAGGAAAAAGGGTCGCTCAAAATTACCTCTCCGCCTCTATCGGATTTTTGTTGTTGTTGTGAATTAACTCGATCGAGCCACTAGATTGCATTAAAATGGACATATGGAGATTGTGTTTTGCAGGTTTTTGCAGTTATGAGTTTTGCACAATAACCGCTCACATATAATATATATTGTTTGGCAGCCGTCTTTTTATCATAGTTCAGGAAACCGGATCGTACCGGTCGGTTGAACCGGTGAAATCGGAAATCGGACCAGAAATGAAACGGTATGCACTTGCTGCTATAAATACCATACCGGTCGGAATTTTCGGTTTAACCGGTTCTAAGCGAAATACCGCCCGGTTTTGTTCCAACCGGCGGTTGCCTGTTTTGCAAAGAAAACGTCGTCGTTTATGAAACAGGGACAAATAAAACAAAAATCACTTCCATACTCAATAGCCATTCCGAATCCCTAATTCTGAATCCCTAATCCGCCGCTCCTCTTCTCTTCTCCAGCTCACCCCTACCTCTTGCGAGTGACGACCGACGACGGCGGCGAGAAGGACGAACTCGACTGCTCGAGAACGCCGCCAAGTCTCCCTCCCTGCCGCGACATTCCTTCGCCTGCTCCAGCTCAGCCCTGCCTCTGGAGACCGGCTAGAAGGACGAGATCGTGAAATGATGTGGTGTTCTACAGGTTCCCTCTCCTCTCAAATCCTGGCTGAGGTTGCCGCTCTTCTCCCGGCCGCCATTGTTTTAAGAAGAGGAAGAGAAGGAAAGAGATAGGATCAGTGAGAATAAGAGAGAAAAGAGAATGTACAAGGGGAGAGAGAGGCTTGCGGGAGGCGAAGAGATAGGGAAAAATATCAAAGAAATATAATAATTAAAGAAAGAGAGAGGGGAGAACGTGGGAGTGGGTGGCATTAGGGAAAGTGGAATGGGATGGGAGCAGGGTTGTCACGCCGGCCGGCGTGCCACTGGTTGTACCAGGTTCAACCTGTATCGGTCATAAAACCGGCGTGACACCACCGGTATGACCGGCATGATCGATATATGAATCTCTATGTAAAATAACCTTATTATAGCGACTTTAATTGTTAAAACTTATTTTATTGTTTATTTTATGAGTATAAATGTTAAATATTGATGTTATTTGTTGGATTTAAGTATAAATGTTTAGGTATTGACGTTAAATGTCATGTTTAAAATGAGTATTCATAATTTTATTTGTAATATTGACCGGCATGAACCGGTACAAACCAGTATGTGCCACTTGCTAAACCGGCACACTGGCATAAACCGGTTTGACAACCTTGGATGGGAGACATGACATGTGCCTTTTTTCTTTTTTTGTTTTATTCGGGTATATTCCGGTTTTATTCCAGTATTATTCCGAAACGATACTCTAACTTGTCGATACGGTTTTTTTACAAAAATAATATTATATTATTATTAAAACGATATTTACCGGCACAGATGGGTTGAACCACGGTTGTACCACAATATACCCTATCACGGATGATTCCGGTATGATGTCCGGTACGATTTCCTGAACCATGCTTTTTATGAACCTTGGCAGTTGTTTTAAATGGTGATAAATAATGGCTTAGGTTCTTGTGCATAACCCCTACATGCAAAATCATGTAAAACCATGTCATGATATGATGATTGATAACACCTAAATTGGTGTTATTTACCCTTCACATTCAAAATTATATCGTGCCAGTTCATGTGTATAATTAGTTGTATCCCTATTTCGTTCCTATTTGAATTCGATTTGATTTTAGGGTGTGTTAGACGACAATTGTGAATTAGGTACAAAACAAGGTCACAAGTTTAGCAAGGGGACAGAAGACTAAAGATCGTGGCCTAGAAGAGAAGATCACGTTCGAGATCACGGACCGTGAAGTCAAGCTGAAGATCGCGGATTGGAAGCCTAAGATCGCGTCCCCAGTCGAATCACAACCACAATGCTTTTTGAACGCGAGGAAGATCGCGGCCGCGAACTCGCCGATCGCAACCGTGAAGCCAACCCACGATCCCCTGAATTGCAAATGCCAATATGAATGCGTTGCAATGACGATCCTGCTCACGATCTCTACTCTGCCGGCCACGAAATTCTGCTTTCTTTGATTGCCTATCAATAGAAGACCACTTTCCCCTTATAGGAGAGCTAATTTTGAGAGAAGAATTTCTGGTTTTAGATATAGGGAAGAGAGAGAAGCTGAAGGAAGGAGAAGAGGAGAAGAAGGAGAATGAGCTAGAAGAGAGGAGACATCTTCCTCAACCTCATGTCTTCTTCAATCTCTTTTATGTATCTTCTTCCCTCCTTTATGAAGTAGTCCTCTAAGTTACTAGGGGTTCTAAACCCCAAACCCCAGTTTTAGGGTTTAGTATGTATGTGTGGATATTTTAGGGTTTGAATGAATGAATGTGTTTATCTAGTTGATTTTATTGCTATTCTATCTTTGATTGTGTTTGGGTAAGTCGCCCTAATCTTCTCTACTAGCCTACTTTATGCTTCTATGTTGGGTTTGGAGTTTAAGAGTTAGACGGGTATGAGCCATCAAGCGAATCAGAGTCAGATCTATGAATAGGGACCTTTGGTGGTCCAGGCGACCGAACCCCTGCCATAGGTAGCCTTCCTAGATAGAACCCGGGATGAAACCTCGGTGTGGACGGTGGGTATTACCCATTGAAAAGAGCTAAGAGTTTAATGCCCCAGACACAATAACCTAGATCGAGGTGACTTTATATGGGTTTAGGGGAGGCGTACTTGTAGGCGTGTGGATAACCACGAAAGCCCACGGAAAAGAGCTCACTCACCACATTCTATAAACCCTAAGTATCTAGACATTACATGGTAGCCCTAGGCGAGGGTGAGTGATAGTTTCCCGAAGTACCTACTTTTAGCTTTATTAATCTCTAGACTAGTTAAATCGCTTAAATCCTCCCCACAAACCCTCAAACCGATCGACTAAATAACGACGAGGTGGAAAGTAGGCTAGGGTACCAGGACCCGAGTAGAATACAACTTTGATTGCCACTGCACAACAATGCCATCTTATATTAAACTTGGTCTAGGATGGAGAAGTTGTTGACATGTGCTAACCACTGACAATAACGTGCACAGATGAAAGTGATCAATGATACGACCGGATTTTGCAGGTTGGGATTTTGTAACCTATATGCTGCCATAAATAATTAGAATTCTTATATATAAATCTTAATATAATATATAATACAAAATTTTAATATATATACATACACAAAAATTAATGTGAAGTACCCTAAAAAAATATTACAATATTTTCTTTTTATGAACCAAACAAACTTTATATATATATATATATATATATATGGTTCAGGCTAGCGTACACCTGACGTACACTGTATGTCTGTGTTCACACTTGTTATTATTTTTAATTAATTATAATTTAAACAATAATTGACAAAATAAAATTGCGATAAAATCTATGGATTTAATTTTCGATACAATTTAGTCCCAAATATTCTTTACCATCGTAAGAATGTGGGCTTTGCTATTTTGACTTCAAGTTTGTTCAAAGTGGGCCAATAAGCCCATTATAGTCAAACGATCAAAGCTTAATTAGCAAGACTAGTTTCATCGTCTTCTTCCCAGTTGACGCAACAAGTTCTGAAACCTAGAGAGTAGAGAGAGAAACTTTCATTTATGAAATACAGAGTATGAAATTAAACAAAATTGACGTAATGTATCCATCCTCAATCTTCTCTACTCTCGTTCCTTCAGGACTCGAGAGTCCAAAACCTCAGATACTTGAACTCCAAATCCAAGCCATTCCTCATTTTCATCCTTCCGACGAGAACTAAATCCAACCTGCGCGATTCTGCAGCAAGGAATATAGGATTCGGATAAGAGTCCGCAGCTGCGCCCACCATTACA